CGTAGGTTAGCATATTAGCTGGCAAGCTAACTGTGTTGATTAGATAGATAGATTAGATAGATACACACTCCTACCACAACTACTACTAACGAATCTAAAACAACTAAGTTTCTCTAATATTTTGTGATTTGCATTTGATTTCGTCCAGCCAGATTAGGAAACTCCTGGCGTATCTGGCGGACAACACATGACGGGATGACCACTCTGATGTCTCGTCCTAAAAAGCCCCGGCAGCTGCTTACAAAGCTGCGATAGGCAAGATGCCGAAAACGCCTATAAGGGGAGGAATGGATGATATACAGCAGGGCTATTCAATTAGTTTGGAATGGGGGCCGGTTGATGAAAATGATCCAAAGCAAGGGGCCGGGAAAAAGATGGCTTGAAATATGAGCAATCATATTTAAGAGCTTCAGATACAGTAAATACTACAACAGCATAGTGGAGTGCATATATTGTGTTTAATTCAATCAAACAACATAGCCCCAAGGCCTTTATAGATCTAAATGGCAAGTTCAGAACTCAGTAGGCCTACATGTTTCATTTGATTTCATTTAGGTGAAATTATCTAATCATTCACGCAGAGATGCAATCAATGACAGGAGTTGTCACTACAGTATAGTAGGTGGGTTCGAAACCCGAGCCCGTCGAAGTTTTCAGGCATTGTCTACCCCTCTATCTCTCAATGTAACACCCTCTCTGGAATAAAGGCACTATGGCACAAACAAAAAAAAAAAAAAAAATCTTAAAAAAAAAAAATTGATTACTTTTTAACATTATACTCAAAGGGCCAGTAAATATCACCCCGGGGCCGGATTTGGCCCGCGGGCCGCCAATTGAATAGCCCTGATATACAGTTTATATATTTACACATGTTCATTTTGTACATTTCTAAAACTAAAGTTTTATGGAAATACTTAGTAGGCCTATTCTTTCTTCCCTGAATTATTTGCTCCTATAACATATCATTCATATATAGCAAACCATGATTTGATTTTTCATCAAACAGTAGTAGTTTATTACATGTAAAAATAACTTACTCTTCTATAACAACAGTTGTAGGTACAGTTAGGTTAGTTAGCGTATAACATATATACGGATGTCCCGAGGCCATTATAAGACTGATGTTCCGCTGAGAGCGAGCCGAAAAAAGCACTGTTAGACATGGGCGGAGCCTCTTTGGTGGTTGACTAATCAGAACAGAGTGGCCGAGCTGACCAATCGGAGCACACTGGGCTTACAGGGAGGGGGGGGCAAGAGCTCCAACGAGCCGTTTAGGACAGAGAGTGAATACCGGTGAATACACATACTTTACAGAGATGCTGTATGCGAAACCAATGTGAGTTTGGAAAATTGCACAGTATACATCTATTTTAGTATACCTCAACAATGGAATTATGATCAGTGGAAATGGCCATGACATGGGACCTTTAAAGAAAATTCAGATTGAACATAGTAAAAAACTGTAAATTATAGTGTCCGTCCAAAAGATCTTTTTTACTTATAGTGAAAACTACCCTTGGATGATGGTAAGGTAGACTAAAAGCTTTAGGAATCCAAAGTACAACATATAATAATTACCCTGTATCAAGATTGATGCAAAACAAGTGACATTTGACCTTTTTAGAGAGGTTTAGCAAAGGTGATTTGGGTGGAAATGGGCGTTTTTACCGTTTCTCTGGAACCCATTGGTCGATTTTGGTGATTGACATCTCTTTTTGACCGGGGGGTGCGGTGTAGAAGAGGTTAAGAAAGCTTACTTAAATATCTGCCACAACACAAGTAACCGGATCAAAGTAACATTACGTAGCCTACAGTCCGCGGCACTGTGAGTGCAGACGTCGATGTGTCCCATTATCATTCATATCACATGATATCACATCATAATGTATCAAATATTTCCTTATCTGAGGCCCAGGCCCCACGGGAACGAAAACGGGTTGTATCCGCATATTTCTCTTGCGTATAGCCCTTTAAGCTACACGACGCCGTAACGGAACGATAGAAACGGACCCTGCAAACGACAACGGGTCCAAAGGTGGATAGATCTGGGAACGGAGCGCTCTGGGGGGGTCCAACGGGGCCGTGTGGTAGCCTATACGGTCATCATTTTCTGATAATGACGATGCAATAGCCCCGCCTCTCCCCACCTCTGCTGCTCACCCCCGCAAAAGTACACTGCACACTTAATTCAGATTATTTATCTTTATCTCGATATGGACATAAACGCGAGTGAAGTCTAATCTGACAGGACGGAGACACGCAGCTCCTCCTGCTGTGATGCAGCGGGAGCAAAACACACACTTCAAGTCAGATCATCACCCTTAGCTATTTTAATTACCTCTCAAACTACCTAAACTAGTTATAAATATGTTTATTTTTACTGTCGGGTCACTCATTACTGGATCAGCTGCTGCATGAGACAGACACTGACGCTGTCAGAAGAGAGGAAAAAGAGACAGGCTCTGTGTATTTTATTATTATATATTATTATATAGAGTCGTTATTCATTTGTTTTAAAGCTCAATATATAACAAAGAAGACCTTTGACCGGCACTTTTATAATTTTGTCCGGAAGATTTAAACTTTAACACACGTTGACCGGCGAAAAACTCTGCCCGGTTCCCTCGGCCCCCACCGCGGAGAATAAACAGAAGTGCAGCCATGACAACCATTCTTCTTCGCTGCTTTTGTGGAGGAAGTTGCTGCTTTTGTGGAGGAAGTTACAGCGCCACGTACAGGCTCGGCATATGTACTGCAGCTTTTCCAGCGGTTGGATCTAAACGGAGCTGTCTCGTGTGGGAAGACACTATCCGGTGTATATTGCGTATGGGCGGAAGCTTTTTGGCGATTGCGTTTGCGTTAATCCTATGCGTTTTGCCGTATGCGTTCCCGTGGGGCCGGGGCCTAAGTCAGCTTCTTGAGCCGTATCTGGCCGTGCAACACTTACAGTGTCACATACTGTATGCAGAAGTATTATTTTAAGCAACACATTAAGTTGACGAAACACTCGAGTCAAATGTAATTAAAGTCAGATCCACTCATGTCTTGGACGGGGCAGTGATATCATAAACCTGTTGATGTACGCATTCAAACACTTTTTCTTTTACCAGCTGTATTCACCTTGCAGGTGCAACTATGTGGCTTTTATCCTGGATAAAGTGTTTAAGTCATGGATGTTTAAAGTTTAACTTCTTCATATGTCTAATATTATAGTTGACTTTTCATTCAGGAAGTATGACGCGCTGCGCTGTTAGTACGCAGCTTGTCCATGTTTGTGATTGGTCGATCGCTCCAAATACCACCCCTTTTATGTGTACGCGCACCTAACTAAATAGGACACGGCTGGCTTGAGCGATCGGGTTGATAGCCAGCGTCGTAGGACAGCTTAGCGAGAGCAGGTTTGTTTTGGATTAAGTCAACCGGCTAACTCAAACATATCCAGGATATATTGAACTAGATTCGTAGTACAGGCCTCAGGCCTCTGGTTCCTTGACTCCCTACTCTACTGTGTTTCTCCCGCGCTCATCAGCACCAGCCCCGCCCCTGATTGTTTTCACCTGTGCCCAGTTATCTCCTGTTTAAATTCCCCAGGTTTCCCTTTGTTTGTTATCAGTTTGTCTTGTCCTGTCCTCATGCCAGAACTCTGCTCATCAGCGTTTGCTCTTTTGGTTACATGCGATATTCATGCTCCTGTAAAACTTATTGTGATTTTGTGTTACGCTATAGTGAAGCCTATTTTTTGTCGCCTCGTTAAGAGTGCCTTATTCTTTTTGTACATCCTATTTTTTGCAAATAAAATATATTACTTATACTCAGTGGCGACTGGTCATTAGGGGCAGGCACAGCCCCACCTAGTGTCAGCAGAAAGTATTACAAATAATGATTACAAAAATGCAAAAAAAAAAATAAAAAAATATATAAAATATATTTTAAGATCATGTTTAATCATCTGATTCGTCTGTACATTGCTGTTTTAGTCTGTGTTCTTCTAATTAGTGTGTCTACAGTCACAGTGTGTGCCTATTGAGCTGTTTAGAGCCATGTGGGACAAAACCTGATTATGCCCCTTCCTCTCGCTGTGAAGTGAACGGTGACTGTAAAAACTACACTGCGCATGCTCAGAGTATTTTGTAATGTAATGTGTGTGGCAAAAAAATAATGACCAGAGGGGCACGGAGCTACCATCCCCACCATACGTCATCTCAAATCATTCAGAGCTGATTGGCTGTAAGTACGTGTGCCGCGAAAAGTGTGGTGCTTGAAGAGGAGACGAGAGAGCTGCAGTGGCGCGTCCTAAAACCAGGAAGTAAGCACAAAAAAGCAATGAGATTTCTCCAGAGGATTTTAGAAAATAGCTCGAAATAAGATCTGTGGGAAACGTACCTGTTAGATAAATGCACGTTTTGATTAGCCGGATAACATCCACATGTCTACCCTACTTTTATAATTTTTTTATCATAAATCTAATCCATAGATTTATGATAGACTTTTGAAACTACAAGAAGATAAGGAGGACTTTTACAAAAAAGTAATAGAAATGTTTGTCCAGAAGGATAGGAACATGGACTTCATCTTCAAGTCAAGGTAAGACCGCCATTTTATTGAAAATGGGATCTTACTAAGAGAGAACAATTCAATATTTAAATGATAAAATTACATTTTTTGGGTATCCTTTTGTTGAACTGTCTGTTTAAAATTAATCGAAGCATCAGACAAAAAAAGCTTTTGAAAATAATATTATATTTTGGTTTAGGTCAAAATATAATATTTGTAAACCTGAAGAGTCAGTGCCAGTGCCTCACCAGCCATGAACCTCACTGTACGTCACTGCAGAAGCTTATATATAGACATCTAAGTTTTTTGTGCCCCACCACTTTTGTACATATAAAAACGCCACTGCTTATACTTTATCTCTGGCTCCCGGGTCGTGCATTTGAGTCCTTTTTCCCTTGTGTATTCACACCTTCATTCATGCATTTATCAAAGCGAATGAGTTGTACCTGGTGAGTTGGTGATGGAGGCGTGGAAGCAGCTGAAGTTGATCAGACAGTAGGAGCAGAGGTAGAAGTTGGAGATGATGGGAGCGATGGTGTTCAACTCAGCTGGTGGAGAGAGACGACAGAAGGGAGTTTAAGAAAAATATGTATGAGCTGTATTACGATCCTTTTAATGCAAATCAAACATTTCCTACTGCCGCTGCTACACAATAAAGTTTCCTGATGAAACATAAAGTGGCTTGAAAACCTGATGTCTTTGTCACCGAGGTTACTGCCCCCCATCTCAACAGTGTTCTCAGATATGTTAACCACTTTCCCCATTTTAAATTACAGAAATGAATTCTTCTCTTTATGAAGTTTCAATTTCAATTCAGACGTTATTTGTTGTAATTCTACTGGTCATCTATAGGGGTCGGAGGGTTCTTCAAAGCCTTACCAATAAGAATGAAGCAGGCAGCGATGATGTACGTTAGAAAGTAGGCCCGGAGCGGTTCATCATTCCTGCCATACCCTTTGCCAAAGACGCCGATAAGAGGGTACAGGTTGTCCTTACACAGACACTGCAGGAAAAATAAATGTTGGTCACATCAGAAAGAAAAGCTTGTTGTTAAACACAGACAGTGAGTAGGAAATATGTGTACCTGAAAGACTTTGGGAGCAGACACCAGGCAGGCCAGAGCAGAGGACAGAGTCGCTCCAAATATCCCCGCAGTGATGAGAGGGCTGAATGCCGACACCATGCTCATCGTCTGTGGGACATGGTGACCGGATGGTAATCCAACTCATTGTTTCAGGACACACTCAGTCATTTATAATATATAATAATTCATATTTGTTAACTTGCTGCTTTCACTGTTTTTATTGTGTATACAATCAAAAAACTGCTCCACCAAATGTTAATCTGCTCAGAGTGTAGGTCAACCCTTTAACCTGTTAAGCCCTGAGCCTGTTTTTCAGGTCTCAGGCTTGAAAATGACATTCCCAGAACAAATGACCATATCTTCCCTTCTAAAAGGGTTAAATTAATAATATTTTTTCTCAAAGTAATGATAAACCTGTGAGTTGGATGTAGAAAAGTCAGAACAATATAGATGTTTTTTATTTTAAAGAAAATTCAGATTTTACATAGTAAAAAACTGTAAATTATAGTGTCCGTCCAAAAATAATTTTTTACTTATAGTGAAAACTACCCTTGGATGATGGTAAGGTAGACTAAAAGCTTTAGGAATCCAAAGTACAACATATAATAAGTACCCTGTATCAAGATTGATGCAAAACAAGTGATATTTGACCTTTTTAGAGAGGTTTAGCCAAAAACTCTCCACCTCTGAGGTGATTTGGGTGGAAATGTTTTTTTTTCCATATCTCTGGCCCCCCTTTGTCGATTTTGATGGTTGACACCTCTTTCTGACCGTTAGAGCCAATAGAATCGAAGGGGGAGTCCCCCACACACACTCATTGTAAAACAAAAAGGTGGGGGCTTTGCGCATGTAATTTTGCATTAGAGTGAAACTATCTCTCGCTCTGACATCTAGAAACAGAAAAGCATGGATTATCAGTCTCATTGCTCATGGATTATCAGAAATCATTTCAAAGGGACAAAGACACATTGGATTAACCTATGGATTAACTTCAGCAGCGTTTTTATCGTTTTAATGCCATTGAAGACCACTTTGGAGAGACTACAGAGCCAAGGTAAGCATGTTAGCATTTTTAGCTACCTAGCGCCACATGTTTTGATGTCTGTTTTTGTTTATAACGTCGCAATTTCGTATAATTCAGTGATAATGAGGGTACCCTTCGGTTCTGTGTCACCTCACGATGTGAAACGATGTCATGGATGTGGAGAAAAGATAAATAATACGTTTTTGTGAGTGATTTTCGGTGCAGTAATCTGTTAGCATCTTTCGCTCGTTGCTAATTCAGAGGCTCAGTGTGGGTTTTCTTTTGAAAAAAAAAAGAAATGATCAGTTAGATGAGTTTCTTCCCGTCATATGGATATAAAACATTCATAGTTTATTAAATGAACATGCCCTCAGACACTGTTTCCTGCAAGATGTTGCGGCAGTGCCCCGGTACCGGGGTCTCTCGGGCTTAACAGGTTAAGAAACTATAAATCAGCCTACCATCCAAATATATTAACAGTGTATCTGACCCTAACCACGTCTTAAACAGTAAATATGAATTGTTGCTATTGAATTGGAGATACAGGCTTGCCCCATGCAAGGGGTAGGTTGATCCGAGTCAGGGGGTACATTAAACCATCTGGGGGTAAATTGACCAATTTAGTTTTTCAAGTTTAATCTCGGGTTGGGCAAGTTACGCAATAATATCACATTAATTAAATAACATGGACAAAAGAAGGAGTCGCTTATACAAGACATTCCAACCAGATGGAATTCGCCTTCCGACATGATAAAAAGCGTCCGTAGAAACCCACTGAAGGACGTCCTCACCACACACAACACCAAGTTGCCATGCCAACTACAGCTGAAATGGTATAAATGTGTTAAAAAAAATAATCTATTGCAGGTATGTGACTGAACTTCTGGTAGGAGAAAAGTATGTTTCATGCTCTGTGGTTCTGCCTGCTTTTTGCCATCTCTCCCGGGTGATGGAGAGCTCAGATGATGACTCTGCCTACGTGCTCAAATTCAAGTCAGAACAGACCTCGAGACACGCAAGGAAAATGCCAACATTGCATATCTGAACATTGCCACTGCATTGGACCCGAGATTCAAGGACTTCAAGTGTATACCCAGAGCTGAGAGGCATGAGGTGTGGGCCTCAGTCACCAACTTTCTCAAAGAAAGAGTGTTGTTGCGTCTTCCGGTTATGGCGTGGTGCTGAGCAGACAGGTGCCGGAGCCCCTCCTTAAAATTCTGTAAATTTGACTGCCTCACAACTTAAATTTATTCACATAGCCATAGTCATATGAACTAAAAGTACTTTCAGATGGCGCCGAAACCAGGGAAACAGGGGCAAAACAACGCCAAACTAAACTTTTCAAATGCTACAAAGCAGCAAGCTAACTGCGATGCTAGCGGAGCCCGGACAAAGTGCTGATCCAAGCGATGAAAGAAGACTTAGTATCGAGATTTGATGGGTTGCTTAGCAATACAAGGAGTGCAAGTTGACCTGAAAGCAGTCACGGTGCGCGTTACTGAAGCTGAGGACAGAATTTCCACCAACGAAGACGTATTTGCAGCTCTGCTAGCTCAAAACACAGCCATGAAAACTACTGTAGAGGAGTTGGTGCTCAAGGTGGATGATCTGGAAAATCGCAGCCGCCGCTCCAACCTTCGTCTGGTGGGTATGCCGGAGAGAAAGGAAGGGATTGATGTGTGCGCATTCTTGGAGAAGTGGATACCTGACGTGCTTGGTGCATCAAACTTTCCAGGACCACTACTGATCGAGAGAGCGCACAGAATTGGTAAAGTCACCGAAGCTGAAGCGCACGTTAACGGTTAACTGATTAACCCTGGGTTATCACAACCCAGGGTTGTGATAATGAAGTTCCTGAATTACGCGGACAAATCTCGAGTCATGCAGGCTGCCAGAATGAAGGGACCAATACTCCTGGATAACCAAAGAGTGATGTTTTTTCCTGACATCTCTGCTGAGCTCCTCAAGCGAAGAAAGGTGTTCGACGGAGTAAAGAGGGAGCTGGCATCCCTCTCCATCTCCGACCTGCGTTACGGGATTGTTCACCCTGCTCAACTCCTAATAACACACGATAGAAAACGCCACGTTTTCGACACGGCAGCGGTGGAGGAGAAGTTTGTGCAAGAACTACGCGGTAACACTCGGGAAACTAGGAGCAAATAAGTCTGCAGTTCTAAAACCACTTTTTTGGATATCAACTGGCCTCAGCAGGTATGCTCCAGAATACACAGTATAATGCACATGAATGTGCAGTGGGGACTAACGGTAACTGTACTTTACCAACACAATGTGTACATTACTGAACTTGCAATTAGTTAAACTAGTTTTGAAAAAGGTCATGTTGTTTCGGTTGTGATAATGCTGATTAAGGAGGGGGGCTTCGCTCTGGTCGTCATGTAGGCTGTTCCTCACCAGGACGATGGCGCGGGAGGACCAGCAAAGCTCCAAGTTTTCCTCATGGAATGTAAGGGGACTTAACAAACTTGTCAAACTAAAGCAAGTCATGAGTAGGATACGGCAATCAAAAGCCCAAATAGTTTTTCTCCAGGAGACGCATCTGACTGCTGTAGATGTGGTCAGGGTAAAGAGGAGATGGTCCGGTCAGGTGTTTTCAGCATCTCTTAGTAAACACCCTGATCAGCTAACATTTTCTTGCTACTCCAGTACCTATCAGACTTTCTCTAGAATCGATTATTATTTAATGTCATCTGATTTAATCTCCAAAATTGAAAGTTGTTGGTATGATAGCATAATAATCTCGGACCATGCTTCCATTTCATTTCTCTTTAGATTCGCAAATCTTGTACCCCATTTTCCAAGGTGGTGTCTACAAACAACTTGGCTTAGAGATCCCAAATGTATACGTTGAAATTAATACTGATCAGACTTCTGCAAGTGTGAGATGGGAAGCATTTAAAGCATTTCTACGAGGTCAGATGATAAATTATAAATTATACTAGTTTTAAAAATAAATCTCACAGACAGGAAATCGAATAACTCGGAAAATCCATTAAAGAACATGAGACCCATATTTTCCAAAATCCCTGCCGTCAGCTTAATGCAGAGCTTCACAAAATGAGAGCCAAATATAATGTTTTGTCTGCAAACAAAGCAACTTATAGTTTGATGAAATTAAGGCAGTCTTACTTTGGACAAGGTGAGAAGGCTGGTAAACTATTAGCCTGGCGTATTAAACAATTGCAATCAGAGAAAGCAATAAACTCAATTGAGACAAATAAAGGGGCAGTTACATCTGACCCAAAATAAATCAATGATACTTTTCAGGACTTCTACCAAGACTTATATAGTTCTGAATGATCAGATTCAGCCCCAAATACTCAAAGGAAATGTCTTGATTCACTAGACTTTATGCCGCTAAATAGCGAATCCATGGGCTTGTTGGAACTTAACCTTGGGGTTGAAGAATTATCTGAAGCTATAGCCAGCTTAAAAGGAGGGAAAACACCTGGACCCGATGGGATTTCAATTGAAATATATAAGATTTGTAAGGCTAAACTGATCCCACCACTGCTCAAAATGTATGAAGAATCATTTGATAGGGGATCCCTTCCTCCTTCACTAAATAATGCATTGATTACACTATTATTAAAACCTGGAAAACCTTCAACCCAGTGTGGATCTTATAGACCAATATCCCTTCTTAATAAGGACCTTAAAATCTTATGTAAAGTACTAGGTAAAAGATTGGAGCCAATTTTACCTAAAATGGTTCATTCTGACCAGAATGGATTTGTACAGAGAAGGCAGGGCTTTCACAATGTAAGGAGGGTGCTCAATGTTCTCTTTGAGAAATCTGGTTGTCCTGACAATGCTATTTTGTCGTTGGACGCAGAGAAGGCCTTCGACAGGGTAGAATGGCAGTACTTATTTCAGGTTCTGGAGAGGTTCGGCATTGGGGGTCGATTTTTAAGTTGGGTACGACTCCTATACTCCAACCCTCAAGCTGAAATCCTAACAAATGGACTTGTGTCATCTCCCATTAAACTCAAGCGAGGAACAAGGCAGGGCTGCCCCCTTTCTCCTCTCCTATTCACACTGGCCATTGAGCCACTAGCAATGGCAA